ATGGCTGTGCATTGGGCTGGGATTCCGGTCGGCTGCTGGGAGCATGCCTGCTCCCTCTGGCTCCACTGCAGGTGCACGTGGGGCTCCCCCGCATGGGCCTCTACTGTGCTCCTCTGGCTCCACTGCTACCGGTGTGCACGAGCCACACTCGGGCTGTTTGGTTGCCGCTGCTGCGGGCTTGCACAGGCCTCTCCTGGTCCCCTCTGGTGCTGTTGGCACCCACAATCTGCTCCCAGTCCCTTCTGGTGCCGCCGCCCCCAGCATGTGCTGCCACTCTCCTGCTACTGGGCTTGTGTGTCGGGGTCTGCACCAGTTAGAGGAATGACTGTCAGGCTGCTTAGTGCTGCAAGGGGCTTCAGAGCTGTGCTGCCTCCCTGGAGTTTAGGGCGCCTAAGGTTCCCCGGGATTCCCAGCTGCTGGCTAAGTGTGCCAGGACGACTTCCTCCAGCTATGGGGTCCCTGTCTCTCTAAGACTTTCAGAAAGCACTTGCTTTTCTTTTGTCTCAGGGGTGCCGGTTGCAGGGACCCACCCACAGGTTTTGCTTTTCTGTTTCTCTAATATCCAGCACCCCGTGCACCTTGTGTCTGCATTCCAGGTGCGGATTCCTAGAACTTGTTGTTTAGCAGTCCTGGGCTTTCACTCCCTCCCCATTCAGACTCCTTTCTTCCCATCGGGTTTTGGGGTGGGGGAGCATTTGGGTCCCACCTGGGCACGGCTTGTATCTTATCTCCTTCATGTGATGTTGATTTCTCACAGATAGATGTATCCTGGCTGTTGTACTGCATCCACTGGTGTCTCTTTTAGGAATAGTTGTATTTATTGCATTTTCATAAGTATATATGTTTCGGGGAGGAGATTTCCTCTGAACTTCTCATGCCACCATCTTCCTGTGATCCTCCCCTCTATACTCATTTTGTTGAGAGTTTTTATCATGAATGGATGTTGAATTTTGTTAAATGATTTTTCAGCATCTATGGTGATGAACATGTGGTTTTTGTCCTTTTTGTTGATATGGTGGATGATGTTGATGGATTTTCGAATGTGGTACCATCCTTGCATCCTTGGAATAAATCCTACTTGATCATGGTTGATGATATTTTTTATGTATTTTTGAATTCAGTTTGCTAATATTTTGTTGAGTATTTTTGCATCTATGCTCATCAGGGATATTGGTCTGTAATTTGCTTTTTTTTGTGGTGACTTTGCCTTCTGTTGGTATTAGAGTAATCCTGGCCTGATAGAATGAGTTTGGAAGTATTCCCTCTTCCTCTAGTCTTTGGAAAACTTTAAAGAGGATGGGTATTAGCTCGTCACTAAATAATCGAGAAAATTCAGCAGTGATGTCATCTGATCCAGCAGTTTTGTTCTTCGGTAGGTTTTTGATTACCAATTCAATTTCATTCCTGGTAATTGGTCTGTTTAGATTTTCTGTTTCTTTCTGGATCAGCCTTGGAAGGTGGTATTTTTCTAGAAAGTTGTCCATATTTTCTAGGTTATCCAGTTTGTTAACACACACTGTTTCATAGTGTTCTCTAATAATTCTTTGTATTTCTGTGGTGTCTATAGTGATTTTCTTCTCTGATTTCTTTTTCTGTTTATATTACTAGACGTTTTATCTTGGTAAGTCTAGCTAGGGACTTATCTATTTTGTTTATTTTCTTGAAGAACTAGTTCTTGCTTTCATTGATTCTTTCTATTATTTTATTCTTCTCAATGTTATTTATTTCTGCTCTAATGTCCCTCTTTCTACTGACTTTGTGCCTCATTTGTTCTCCTTTATCTAGTTTCATTAATTGTGTTTACACTGCTCATATGGGATTATTCTTCTTTCCTGAGGTAGGCCTGTATTGCAATACACTTTCCTCTTAGCACAGCCTTGACTGCATCCCACAGATTTTGCGGTGTTGAATTATTGTTGTCATTTGTCTCCATATATTGCTTGATCTCTTTTATTTGGTCATTGATTCACTCGTTATTTAGGAGCATGTTGTGAAGCCTCCATGTGTTTGTGGAATTTTTCTTTTTCTTTGCTTAATTTATTTCTAGTTTCATAACTTTGTGGTCTGAGAAACTGGTTGGTACAATTTCAATCTTTTTGAATTTACCGAGGCTTTTTTTGTGGCCTAATATATGATCTCTTCTTGAAAATGTTCCATGTTCACTTGAGAAGAATGTGTATTCTGCTGCCTTTGGGTGTAGAGTTATGTAGATGTCTGTTAGGTCCATCTGTTCTAATGCGTCGTTCAGTGCCTCTGTCTCCTTACTTATTTTTTCTGTTTGATCTGTTCTTCAGAGTGAGTGGAGTTTTGAAGTCTCCTACAATGAATGCATTGCACTCTGTTTCCCCTTTTAATTCTGTTAGTATTTGCTTCACATATGTGGGTGCTCCTGATTTGGGCACATAGATATTTATAATGGTTATACCTTCTTGTTAGATTGACCCTTTTATCATTATGTAATGTCCTTCTTTGTCTCTTGTGACTTTCTTTGTTTGGAAGTCTATTTTGTCTGATACAAGTACTGCAACTCCTGTTTTTTTCTCTGTATTAGTTGCTTGAAATATCTTTTTCCATCCCTTCACTTTTAGTCTGTGTATGTCTTTGGGTTTAAAGTGAGTCTCTTGTAGGCAGCGTATAGATGGGTCTTGTTTTTTTATCCATTCAGTGACTCTATGTCTTTTGATTGGTGCATTCAGTCCATTTTCATTTAGGGTGATTATCAATAGGTATGTACTTATTGCCATTACAGGCTTTAGATTTGTGGTTACCAAAGGTTCAAGGTTAACTTCCTTACTATCTAAGAGTCTAACTTAACTCACTTAATATGCTATTACAAACACAATCTAAAGGTTCTTTTTTTTCTACTCCATTTTCTTTCTCCTCCATTCTTTATATATTAGGTATCATATTCTGTACTCTTCATCTATCCCTTGATTGATCTTACAGATATTTAATTTACTTTTGGATTTGCTTAGTAATTAGCTGTTCAACTTTCTTTACTGTGGTTTTATTACCTCTGGTGACAGCTATTAAACCTTAGAAACACTTCCATCTATAGCAGTTCCTACAAAATACACTGTAGAAATGGTTTATGGGAGGTAAATTCTCTCAGCTTTTGCTTATCTGGGAATTGTTTAATCCCTCCTTCAAATGTAAATGATAATCTTTCCAGATAAAGTAATCTTGATTCAAGGCCTTTCTGCTTCATTGTTTTAAACACATCATGCCACTCCATTCTGGCCTATAAGGTTTCTGTTGAGAAGTTTCATGATAGCCTGATGAGCTTTCCTTTGCATGTAATCTTATTTATCTCTCTGGCTTGTTTTAAATGTCTGTCCTTATCCTTGATCTTTGCCATTTTAATTATTATGTGTCTTGATGTTGTCTTCCTTGGGTCCTTTGTGTTGGAAGATCTGTGATTCTCCATGGCCTGAGAGACTATCTCTTTCCCCAGATTGGGGAACTTTTCAGCAGTTACTTCCTCAAGGACACTTTCTATCCTTTTCTCTCTCTCTTCTTCTTCTTGTGGTACACCTATAATGTGAATATTGTTCCGTTTGAATTGGTCACACAGTTCTCTCAATATTCTTTCATTCTTAGAGATCTTTTTTCTTCTCTGTGCCTAAGCTTCTTTGTAGTCCTCTTCTCTAGTTTCCATTCCATTTATCATCTCCTCCACCATATCCAATCTGCTTTTAATACCCTTCTTTGTGCTCTTCAATGATTGGATCTCTGACCAGAATTCATTCTTGAGTTCTTGAATATCTTTCTGTACCTCCATGAGCATGTTAATGATTTTTATTTTGAACTCCCTTTCAGGAAGATTCATGAGATTGATGTCATTTAAATCTTTCTCAGGAGTTGTAATAATCTTACTCTAAACCAGGTTCCTTTGGCATTTCATATTTGTATTTGGTGCCCTTTAGTGCCCAGAAGCTCTACTCTTTGGTGCTGCTCAGCCCCTGAAGGGGGTCACAGGAGTGTAGTGTTGGTGCCTGGGGGAAGGAAAGAATCTGTTTCCTGTTTCCCGGCTGCTATGCCTGTCTCCACTGCCTGAACCAGTGGGCCAAGCACACAGGTATAAGCCTCTATGCTTTGTGTTTGTAATTGCTGTAGACAGATCTTCCCTCTGGCCAGTCTAATGTCAAGGTAGGGTTTGCCAGTTTGGAAGCCAGGGGGGCTGGCTGGGAGAAAGGTGCAGTAGGGTGTGTATCACAGAGGTGTCCTTGGAGCTATGTAGTCAGCAAGGAGCTGGAGCACCTGAAAATCATAAAAACTCCCAACCTGCTGGGCATAGTGCACCTGGACAATTTTGTCTACCTGTCCTTTCTCCTGAGCAGTAATCTCCGTGCAATCCTTGCCACTTTAGCAGCCCTCTTGCTAAGGTCTTCCTTGTTAGGAAGTGTCTCAGACTGCCCGCCCATCTTTCTTTTGCCCCAGAGCAGCCGGATATGGATCCCTGCTTTCCACAAGTGGCTTCAATCTCAATCTCTCCAGGAATTCTGTCTGTCTTAGCTTTCCAACCCCCTAATCACAAGAGTATCATGCAAGCACCATGAAATATAGGTTTGTGCTCCCAGAGGAGATCTCCAGAGTTAGCTATTCAGCAGTCCCAGGCCTCCACTCCTTCCCTGTTTCTCTTCCTCCTGCCAGTGAGCTAGGGTGGGGGAAGTGCTTGGGTCCTGCTGGGCCACAGCTTTGGTACATTACCCTGTTCTGTGAGGTCTGCTCTTTTTTCCAGGTGTATGCAGTCTGGCACAGTCCACTTTCCTGTTGCTCTTTCAGAATTAGTTGCATTAATTATATTTTCATATTATATGTGGTTTTAGGAGGAAGCCTCTGTCTCATCTCTCACGCCACCATCGTTAACCCTATCAACCTCCAATACACATTTCTTTATTGGGTTTTTATATTTAAGATTTGCAGTGAACATATTAATTTCACTTCATAAACCAAGATTTTTTTCTAGACATTAATCTCTTTTTCTTGTTGAACACTAGTCTCAGTGGTTGTGATGAGCCATCCAGAATTACCCACAAATGGCGTTTACAGCCTAAAGAAATTTATATGCCTAGGAGAGCCATCTGCTATGTAAATCCATGACCTGGGGCTGTCATAAAGGGCTGCCCCCAGAATGACCTGGCTAATGATAGCCAGTTTACTGAGTGAATGTTGACATAAGCCTTCTAATTATTCCTGTCATATGTTTGTACTATTACTAAGCATCATTACCAACCAGTAATCTTCCATTTATTTGTTTACTGAGCACTTACTATACAGCAGTCACTGCTGCTAGATACTGAGACTACAGAGATAGAAGACATATTCCCTACTATTACAGAACTCGGTATCCATTACAGGAAACAAAAAAAATAAAGAGATATGACAATGTGATGTGTGCTATGATAGACTAGACAGTATGACCATATCAAGGAAAAGAAATTAACCCAGCCTGGGGTAAGTGATAACTGATCTGGTCCTGAAAAAAAAAAGGTAAAAGAGCCAAGGTGTGTCTGGGAGGGTAAGAACATCCTCAGCAAGGGAAAGTGCAGTTATGGAGCCATGAGTAGGTATGGCACTTTCTGGAAGACTAGGGGCACAGAGCTAAAAATGGGGAAAATGGTGAAAGATGAGATTCTTGAGGAAAGCAGTGGACAGATGATGAAGGACCTTCAATATCACAGTGAATTTTGACTTTACTGAGTAGCCACTGAAGGATTTTAAGCAGAAGAGTGAAATGATTTAATTTAAAGTATCTTCCTGGAAATAAGTCTTGAGTATATAGGTCAGGGACAGTAAAAATGAACATAAAGAAAGCAGTTTAAAGACTAGAAATATTGGGGGATTAAAGTAAGACCATGGCAAGGATGAAGGAAGGTGGAGCCAGGAACTTCAGATAGGTAAGTAGAAGCTAAAAGAAGGGTCCAGGATTGTGTCTTGATTTCTGTCTTGCAAGTGATAACAGAGAGGAAGATGATCACACTGCAAAGATAGGAACTGAGGGATGAGAAGCCTTGTGTGGAAACAAGTAATTTTTGTACATACTGAAAATCTGATACTTAGGGGACAATCAAGTGAACAACTTCAATCAGCAACTGGGTATATAGATCTGGGGCAGAGGACAGTGATCTGACCCAAAAGTAAGTGGGCATGTATCCAATAGCTCAGGAAGAGCATAGCAGGTGGGAAAAGTGACAGGGATGGACTCAGGAGATGTCACCATTAACATGTAAGGGACAGGAGGGATCTTGAAGGCAAGGGATAAGAAGGGCTGAGGGATAAAGCAAAGCAGCAGAGTGAACCACCAGAAGTCAAAATGACAAAGTTGAAAGGGTCAAATGCCATGGGAATATTATGTAAAATGAAGGTCGGAAATTGCCTAGTAAATTTGTAACAGTGCCCTTATGGCAAAGCATGAGAATACCTGAGATGAGAAAACAAAGATTTTGAGTTCATAGACTATTTTTTAAGAACTATGTGGAGAGAAGGTGGGCAAGCAGACAGCTAGAAGAGAAGAAAGAGAGAGAGGCTTCCTATATTTTTTTTTAATGAGAGAAATTTAAGAGGGAAGCCTGTTGCAAAGAGTGATGGAAGATGGAGGAGAGTAATAAATAAAACAAGGCATCTTAGCCTGGCATTAGTAAAAATGTATCTCTTCCCCTGGGAAGGAAAAGAGTTAATTCGTCTGAATGCAACTAAGCTGTGGGGAGGAGGGGAAGCGCAGGAATTCTCTGTGCAATAGAATTCAGGTGCCTTGCTGAAAGGTGAGCTTATTCTCTGCGAGGACAGGGAAATGAGAGCAGAAAGTAGGATGCTCACCATACCAAATCCAGCGCTTTATTAACTGTAGGTAAGACAGCAGGACGTGGCACGTGTGTGTAAGGGTGGAATTTCTGGCTTTTTTACTTTGGTTTTCATTTGTTTTAGTTTTGCTGCATTAAAAATTTTTTTAGCAATTTTAAGTGTAGCTTTATTTGGGCATGGGATGTTATTTGACTGATTCTACTGTGTGTGCAACTTTACTACTGTGGCTTTTGTGTGTAAATGTAGGCTAACTGAGGATGATTTTCGTCATGATTAAACAAATGTTATGACCTGAATTTCTTTTGGTTCTGGGCAGGACTACCTTGAAATTAAAAGAATGATTTTCCCAAGATTTTACTTTCTTGGCAATGCTGAACTTCTTGATATTCTAGCCAATAGCAGAAACCCTGAGTCTGTACAGGTAATGTCATTATTCTCTGCACAGCAGGAGTATTTCGCATCAGATTAGAATTTTATAATGTCACTGACATTTGTTTCTGGTCCACAGCCTCATCTTGTGAAATGTTTTGAAAATATAAAACAGTTATTGATATGGAAACAAGAAATTGGCCCTCCTGCTGTGAAAATGCTCATTTCTGCTGAAGGAGAGGCTCTTGTGCTGCCCAAGTATGGTCATGTGTCACACATGAGACATTATGTCACACACGAGACATCGAGTTACATGCAAGACATGTATCACACACGAGGCATTCAAGACTCCATAGAACTTCATGGTGTAAAACCTCTGCTTGGGAAGTTCTGACAGGTCACAGAAGTTTGCTAAGCAAACTGTTCCTTCAAAGATAATGCACTTAGTAGCTCAGCTTTACATCACTGTATTTATGAGGACTGTCCTGAATGCCAACACAAGGTTTACTGTACAAACATGGAAGGAAGGAAACTGGCCATTTGCTCAGGGCTGTTGATGGTCCTCCCACTGCTGCCTCTGTGGTTACCTCTGGCAGTAACTAATGTCTCTGGGCCTCTATGAACAGCAGGTCCTTCCACTGCATGTCCCATCAGCCTGCCCCACCCAGCAGGGGCTCACTAGCCTTTCATGTGGCTGCTGATATGAGCTGATTAAAAAATGCTGCATTTAAGTCTTGCCGTCCACCAGAACTCCAAATCTGATCCTGACCTTGGCTTTCTATCTAAAAGATTCAAATACAAAAATGCTTTACAATAATTTATCTATTGTAAATTCATATTTTACTAAAACCTCTTAATTTTGTAAGTTCATGGTTTTGATGTCAGAATTTCCTAAAGCTAGGTGCTATGTTCTCTGCAGAGTTTCCTAAATTAAGATTTAGAAAACATATAGAAATTAGTTGTGTAAAGATATATAGAACTATAGTAAATATTATAAGTATAGAAAAATTAGTCTGAATAAAACATGAATAAAATAATTCTTCTAACACTGTTTTTGAAAAAATTACAGGAAAATTCATATAAGTGCTGTAGAACACTGGCTGGTAAATGTAGAGAAGAGCATGTTTGATGCGCTAAAAAGTAAGTATAATTTTCAAATACTAAAGTTATAGGCATATTTTTAAACTTGACTACTTATCCACATGTCTAAGTGGGAAGGATCCAGAGAAATATATAGAGTGGAGTCCTTATGAAGTAGGTTTTCATAGAGTGTGATGGCACATGATGGAAAATAACCTCTTTACAATGTAATTGTCAGTTTGAGAGTGTAATCGTGGACAACTTTCAGTTTTTATGTACTTTGAGATTCTCAAGTATCTGAAAACTGGCTGGGGCTTGAACTTGTGTCCATCTCTTTCTGCTTTCAAAAGACCAGCACCTACAAGGCCTCATCCTTCACCGCTCTGCTTTTCTGTCTCTGTCCCAGTCTTGCTCCTTGGAATTGTCTTCCTGGTTTAGTCTTTTTAATGTTTACCTTTTTACAGTTTTCATCTATCATTGCTCTCGGTTTAGAGTGAAGAAAGAGCCTCTAAGTGTGAACTTTTAAAACTAATTTGACTAGAACAGTCTTTCACATTTCTAATTACTTATGGTTGGTTATAGAAGGCCATTCATTAGTCTTAAAGTTTTAATTTCTATATTTATTAATATTATCCTGAATACCAACACAAGGTTTCTAGAGCAAAGCAGATTATTGTTTATTTACATAAATAACCACAGTGGTTTTCTTTGTCCCACTTCTTACCCCTGAGGTGATGTGATAAGAACCAGATATCATCCTACATATGTGGGAGGGTACACCTGTAGGTAAGGAACCCAAAAAAATTCATCTGCACATTTGAGAGATGAGAAGATTTTCAGTTTTTGCTCTGAGATTTTTTTGGTTAGACAATCTTATCAGTTGTAAATAATAACAGTCCTGTTTCTTTACAATTCTTTTTAAAATGTCATTTTCTTTTCATGTTTTTAGGATGATAAATTTTATAGTGTTGAAAAGTACAGATGACAGAGAGCATTTTTTGTTCCTAATTTTATTGGGAAAGCTACTAATGTTTCACCATTTATTATGATGCGTAGGTTTCTGGAATATATCCCTTATCAAAGTAAAGAGTTTATTCCTACTTTGCAAAGGTTTTAATAATCAAACGATGTTTAATTACATCAAATGTTCCTCATGAATCTATCGAAAAACTCAAATATACTTTTGCCTTTAATTTGTGGATGTTATGAATTACATTAATAAATTTCCATATGTTAAATTTTCTTTTATTTTCTTATTTTTTGGTCTCTTTACTTTATGTCCTAGAAAACTAAACATTAAACATCCCCTACTTTTTTGTGGGTTTGTCAATTTCTTTTTTTATTTCTAACATTTATTTGTAACATCTATTATATATTTTGATGCTATGCTGTCATACATAAACCTTAGTAGAGTGTACCTTTAATCAATTCATATTTATACTTTTTTAATTTAAAAATGTTTTACTTAATGTCTTAATATATTATGCATAACCTGATATATATGTTCAGTATAATATAAACTTGTTATGCCTATTTCTATGATAAACATTTGTACCATCATGTTTTTATGTTTCTGTTCCATATTAATATTTATTGAATCAAATGTAAATATGGATTTCACTTTAATTTTTGCTTTTATTTTGAGAAGATGATCACACTGCAAAGATAGGAACTGAGGGATGAGAAGCCTTGTGTGGAAACAAGTAATTTTTGTACATACTGAAAATCTGATACTTAGGGGACAATCAAGTGAACAACTTCAATCAGCAACTGGGTATATAGATCTGGGGCAGAGGACAGTGATCTGACCCAAAAGTAAGTGGGCATGTATCCAATAGCTCAGGAAGAGCATAGCAGGTGGGAAAAGTGACAGGGATGGACTCAGGAGATGTCACCATTAACATGTAAGGGACAGGAGGGATCTTGAAGGCAAGGGATAAGAAGGGCTGAGGGATAAAGCAAAGCAGCAGAGTGAACCACCAGAAGTCAAAATGACAAAGTTGAAAGGGTCAAATGCCATGGGAATATTATGTAAAATGAAGGTCGGAAATTGCCTAGTAAATTTGTAACAGTGCCCTTATGGCAAAGCATGAGAATACCTGAGATGAGAAAACAAAGATTTTGAGTTCATAGACTATTTTTTAAGAACTATGTGGAGAGAAGGTGGGCAAGCAGACAGCTAGAAGAGAAGAAAGAGAGAGAGGCTTCCTATATTTTTTTTTAATGAGAGAAATTTAAGAGGGAAGCCTGTTGCAAAGAGTGATGGAAGATGGAGGAGAGTAATAAATAAAACAAGGCATCTTAGCCTGGCATTAGTAAAAATGTATCTCTTCCCCTGGGAAGGAAAAGAGTTAATTCGTCTGAATGCAACTAAGCTGTGGGGAGGAGGGGAAGCGCAGGAATTCTCTGTGCAATAGAATTCAGGTGCCTTGCTGAAAGGTGAGCTTATTCTCTGCGAGGACAGGGAAATGAGAGCAGAAAGTAGGATGCTCACCATACCAAATCCAGCGCTTTATTAACTGTAGGTAAGACAGCAGGACGTGGCACGTGTGTGTAAGGGTGGAATTTCTGGCTTTTTTACTTTGGTTTTCATTTGTTTTAGTTTTGCTGCATTAAAAATTTTTTTAGCAATTTTAAGTGTAGCTTTATTTGGGCATGGGATGTTATTTGACTGATTCTACTGTGTGTGCAACTTTACTACTGTGGCTTTTGTGTGTAAATGTAGGCTAACTGAGGATGATTTTCGTCATGATTAAACAAATGTTATGACCTGAATTTCTTTTGGTTCTGGGCAGGACTACCTTGAAATTAAAAGAATGATTTTCCCAAGATTTTACTTTCTTGGCAATGCTGAACTTCTTGATATTCTAGCCAATAGCAGAAACCCTGAGTCTGTACAGGTAATGTCATTATTCTCTGCACAGCAGGAGTATTTCGCATCAGATTAGAATTTTATAATGTCACTGACATTTGTTTCTGGTCCACAGCCTCATCTTGTGAAATGTTTTGAAAATATAAAACAGTTATTGATATGGAAACAAGAAATTGGCCCTCCTGCTGTGAAAATGCTCATTTCTGCTGAAGGAGAGGCTCTTGTGCTGCCCAAGTATGGTCATGTGTCACACATGAGACATTATGTCACACACGAGACATCGAGTTACATGCAAGACATGTATCACACACGAGGCATTCAAGACTCCATAGAACTTCATGGTGTAAAACCTCTGCTTGGGAAGTTCTGACAGGTCACAGAAGTTTGCTAAGCAAACTGTTCCTTCAAAGATAATGCACTTAGTAGCTCAGCTTTACATCACTGTATTTATGAGGACTGTCCTGAATGCCAACACAAGGTTTACTGTACAAACATGGAAGGAAGGAAACTGGCCATTTGCTCAGGGCTGTTGATGGTCCTCCCACTGCTGCCTCTGTGGTTACCTCTGGCAGTAACTAATGTCTCTGGGCCTCTATGAACAGCAGGTCCTTCCACTGCATGTCCCATCAGCCTGCCCCACCCAGCAGGGGCTCACTAGCCTTTCATGTGGCTGCTGATATGAGCTGATTAAAAAATGCTGCATTTAAGTCTTGCCGTCCACCAGAACTCCAAATCTGATCCTGACCTTGGCTTTCTATCTAAAAGATTCAAATACAAAAATGCTTTACAATAATTTATCTATTGTAAATTCATATTTTACTAAAACCTCTTAATTTTGTAAGTTCATGGTTTTGATGTCAGAATTTCCTAAAGCTAGGTGCTATGTTCTCTGCAGAGTTTCCTAAATTAAGATTTAGAAAACATATAGAAATTAGTTGTGTAAAGATATATAGAACTATAGTAAATATTATAAGTATAGAAAAATTAGTCTGAATAAAACATGAATAAAATAATTCTTCTAACACTGTTTTTGAAAAAATTACAGGAAAATTCATATAAGTGCTGTAGAACACTGGCTGGTAAATGTAGAGAAGAGCATGTTTGATGCGCTAAAAAGTAAGTATAATTTTCAAATACTAAAGTTATAGGCATATTTTTAAACTTGACTACTTATCCACATGTCTAAGTGGGAAGGATCCAGAGAAATATATAGAGTGGAGTCCTTATGAAGTAGGTTTTCATAGAGTGTGATGGCACATGATGGAAAATAACCTCTTTACAATGTAATTGTCAGTTTGAGAGTGTAATCGTGGACAACTTTCAGTTTTTATGTACTTTGAGATTCTCAAGTATCTGAAAACTGGCTGGGGCTTGAACTTGTGTCCATCTCTTTCTGCTTTCAAAAGACCAGCACCTACAAGGCCTCATCCTTCACCGCTCTGCTTTTCTGTCTCTGTCCCAGTCTTGCTCCTTGGAATTGTCTTCCTGGTTTAGTCTTTTTAATGTTTACCTTTTTACAGTTTTCATCTATCATTGCTCTCGGTTTAGAGTGAAGAAAGAGCCTCTAAGTGTGAACTTTTAAAACTAATTTGACTAGAACAGTCTTTCACATTTCTAATTACTTATGGTTGGTTATAGAAGGCCATTCATTAGTCTTAAAGTTTTAATTTCTATATTTATTAATATTATCCTGAATACCAACACAAGGTTTCTAGAGCAAAGCAGATTATTGTTTATTTACATAAATAACCACAGTGGTTTTCTTTGTCCCACTTCTTACCCCTGAGGTGATGTGATAAGAACCAGATATCATCCTACATATGTGGGAGGGTACACCTGTAGGTAAGGAACCCAAAAAAATTCATCTGCACATTTGAGAGATGAGAAGATTTTCAGTTTTTGCTCTGAGATTTTTTTGGTTAGACAATCTTATCAGTTGTAAATAATAACAGTCCTGTTTCTTTACAATTCTTTTTAAAATGTCATTTTCTTTTCATGTTTTTAGGATGATAAATTTTATAGTGTTGAAAAGTACAGATGACAGAGAGCATTTTTTGTTCCTAATTTTATTGGGAAAGCTACTAATGTTTCACCATTTATTATGATGCGTAGGTTTCTGGAATATATCCCTTATCAAAGTAAAGAGTTTATTCCTACTTTGCAAAGGTTTTAATAATCAAACGATGTTTAATTACATCAAATGTTCCTCATGAATCTATCGAAAAACTCAAATATACTTTTGCCTTTAATTTGTGGATGTTATGAATTACATTAATAAATTTCCATATGTTAAATTTTCTTTTATTTTCTTATTTTTTGGTCTCTTTACTTTATGTCCTAGAAAACTAAACATTAAACATCCCCTACTTTTTTGTGGGTTTGTCAATTTCTTTTTTTATTTCTAACATTTATTTGTAACATCTATTATATATTTTGATGCTATGCTGTCATACATAAACCTTAGTAGAGTGTACCTTTAATCAATTCATATTTATACTTTTTTAATTTAAAAATGTTTTACTTAATGTCTTAATATATTATGCATAACCTGATATATATGTTCAGTATAATATAAACTTGTTATGCCTATTTCTATGATAAACATTTGTACCATCATGTTTTTATGTTTCTGTTCCATATTAATATTTATTGAATCAAATGTAAATATGGATTTCACTTTAATTTTTGCTTTTATTTTGCTGTGCTTTATACAGATGTTCAAGTGTTTGATGTCACTGCTGGTTAGTCTGTAAGCCCAGAAGATCCACTCTCCACCCTTTTCTGTCTTGTGTATACTTGCTGTGCTCATGCCCATGGACTATGTAACCTGCATTCCTTTGCCCTATAGCTCCCAGTGGGGCAAATGTAAGGCCTAGTCTCTGCCTCACTTCAGTTTTGGCAGAATCTGTGCTCCTCTGTCTAAGCCACAGCTGTTGACAGGTGGTCCCTCTCCAAAGTCTCCCACCCTCACCAGGTCCCAGGAACACGCACCCCTGCCACAGCATAGGGGTGGTGAGAACTGCCCCTGGGCTAGTCCCTGGTGTCAGCATCCTCCTTCAGAGAAGTGAAAATGTGTCTTAGAATTGGTTTCCTTGCACTGCCCCTATCTCCAGAGTCCCTTCTTTAACTCACCTCAGGCACCCCATTGAAAGTGCTCTTTCCTGCTGTCCAAGGTACTGCCTTTCAACATTTATTTCAGTTGCTCTGGGGTTTGAACCCGTGCTTGCCCTCTAATAACCAGGCTTGTGGTTTGGGGCTTTGTCTGCTTACTGTTACACTGAGTTTCTTCATCGCTTGTGGTGTAGCTGTTGCAAACTTATAACCACTTGCTTTTTTCTGGTGTATACTCTTAAAATTTTAATACACTTAGTGAAACATATTTTTTCAAACCTCATAATAAATATCTCCAATTTGTCCCCAAAGAACATATGTCACTTCATAATTCCTCCCATCACCGCCTCCATACTGTAATCATTGAGGATTTTATTCCAAATTGTTGTTAGTTATCTGCGGATCAGTAACTACCTAGGCTTAGTGAGTTTTTGTTTTTATTCATTACTGTTTCATAGTTCTCACATTAAAAAATTTTTTTAACTTTGCTGAATATATCTCCAGGTAACTTTTCGAGAAAGCATCCATGGGGGGCGGGGGCAAATACTTATTTCACCCTCATACTTGCATAGTTGTATGGCTGAGAGTAGAGTTTGTTTAAGTTCAAAATTCACTTGTTAAATACTGGCCCCTCAAATATCACCAAAACAATCTGTTGATAAACAGCTGAGTTTACTGAGTAAAGAAAACACTACTTAGACCCTTAGTTTGCCTTACGGGAGAAAGAATAAAATTATAATATTATTGAGAGTTTGAAGTCTGGTTTAAGGCAGGTCTTTAAATCTGGGGGTTTGATCAGGATTGGATAAAGTCAGGATGTAATAGTTTAAGATTAGTGGACATAGCAAAGCAGGATTTTGCTCCTTTATGCTTGATTTTGGAGGAAAAAAATAATCATTTTTCTTTTCTCACATAGCTATTCTGCAATTCAGCAAAATGGTGAGGTTATTATCTTAGTAACACATTGAATTTTCAAAAATAGTTTCTTTTATCTAGAAGCCTTTTCTTGGCTTTTGAGTACATATCTTGCACTACTACTAGTCTGTTTGGAGATATTATTTTTATTTCATTAGGTGTAAGAGAACGTTGGCAGTATGGTATCTTACCAGAAAATGTCAACAGAAGATTTTCATCCTCCTAAGTCACAGCTCTCACCTTGCTGAGCGATTGTCAGGCACCATCAATTATAAGATGCATCCTGATTCCAGAGAAGTAAAAATGTGTCTTTCTTAGAATTGGTGAAGTAAAGTGTATTCCTTTATTAACACTTTATGTGTTACCTTTATTAACACTGCTTCCTCTTTTTAGTTTTCTGGTTGGTTGAGATTTGTGCTCTTTATCATGGTGTTAGCCTTCCTAAAATGGCCATTCTTTGTTGTCTGTTCATACATGTACTAGTGCGGCTGTCTTCTATAAGCAAATACTAGTTTCTAACTGCAACAGCCTGCCTGCAGTGAATGCAGTTGGCAAACAGGACGTGCAGGAAGGACCTTGTCTGTGAGTAGCTCATCTAGTGCATGAGGCTTCATTTTCACTTCTGCTGGGAGCTGCAAACTTCCTGTGACACTCACTGATACTCTAGTTCCAGGAATATTTCAAATATTCTGCTTCTTACAGAACAATGCCACAGTCAGCCTTCTGTGTTTTCTTCTTTCCTCTCTCCTTGCTTCCTTCCCTTCCTTCCTTTCTTTTCTATAGTCTTAGGATATGCGGAACTATTGCAGGCTGTACTCAGCTTCTCTCTTTAGCCCAAAATATTCACCCTAGGAAACCTCCACCAAGACCTTCTCTGAATTTTCATTCTGAATGCCTACTAGCAGATCAGTTATGAGGATGGGGGCTGCTGGGAGAGGCAGAGGCACACAGGTCTCCCTATTTAGAAAGCTCTCCTAATTAATTATCCTAAAGATTAGCCCTAGGCTCCCTTCTGGTTTGTTAAAGTTGGAAATAGTGTTCTTAGGTTTCTCAACTCCTCTTTCTGTAATTCAGCCCCAATTTGCTTTCTATCTGCTGGAAGTTTTTCAAATTTTTGATACCCTGGAACACACTTTCTTCTTCTCCAGTTCCTTATAAATGTGGGTTTTTTTTCATATATTCTCTGTCATTTGAAGGAATATGGCTCAGGATGAAGACAGGATTGTTAAGTCAGAAATCTTGACCCACTGTCTCCTGATAAGACTATAAAAAAAATCAGAATAAATATTTCCAAAATCCTGGAGGAAGTAAAATAAAGAAAATACATTGTGCTTGTGTCTATGGGTGTGTGTTTATATAAATATAAATACAAATATAAACACAGGAAAAAGTATCAAAAAAGAAATAAGATATTAATTAAAAAGAGAAATGTAACTATATGCTATTTGTGAGATATAGAAATGCAACAAAAAGTTACAAGTAAAATGAACAAAGATATTTCAGCAACAGCAAACAAAAAAACAAAGGCATTAAAGATCATTTTAACTGATGAAAGATACATTTCCACTGATACAGCTTTGAAATAGATAAAAAGTTGTCATAAACCTATTTCTTCTCAGTGGCAATCATGAATAAAAAATAAAAATAGATACCATTTGCAATTGCAGCAAAAATTAAAAGAATCCATATTCATTTTAAATATTTAAATAAATGCTAAATTAAGATTCATAAGTAAAAAAATGAAGCCAAATAAATATTAGAAGAAAATATATGAAATTTAGTATCAAGAATTTCAAATTTATCAATGATAAAATAAAGAGCAAAAGATTGATCTGTTTGACTATATAGAAACTTAAAAAATTAAATGAAAATTATATATATGTAAATATATATATGTGAAAAAATAATAATGATATGAAAACATATACTTTCGCACATATTAATTTTGGTATTAAAATGTCTAGCTGTCTTTCATAAATTCTTATTTTCTCCATTATCATTAATTTTTAAAGCTAAACACAGGACTTTATTGTTAAAATTCATCTGATAGTTTCAGCCCAGTTCTCAATCTTGTAGAAATTATTTTAAATACTGATTTTATCATTGATAGTATCAGAAACTCAAAGCTAGTAATGGCCTCATTGGAATAATGCAGATGACATAAAGAGGAATTTAGCAAATATGCATCATGCTTGAGTTAAGGCTCTATTAACTCTATTTGGTACTATACATTTACATAACTTTAAATTAGAATTAAAAAAAGATATCCTAAAGGAAAATTCATGATTGGTCTTTAAATGGCATCTTGATTAGCTATAAATAATATTTCATTACAGATTTGTAAGCCAAGCAGTTGAAGACTGGAATTACAAATCTTTTTTCTGTATGGGTGTTGTCTCATCCAGGGGAAGTGGTACTCACTGTGTTAATATGCTTTGATATACAAGTATTTAATTTGTGACTGCACTCCCAAGAAAGCAAAGATTTAGAAATAACCATTATGAAGGGTACTGATATGTGTAGCTTCCTTTGAAATGCATCAAAAAACAAGATGGACAGATGGATGGCTAGATAGACAGATATGTGAAAAATAAATATAGCAAAGAGTTAATTGTAGAACATAGGTGGTAGGTAAATGAGTATTCATTTTACAGTTCCTTCTGAGTTTAACTGAGGAAATAGTACTAACTTCATTGTGGAATTTTCTATCATTATTATGATCCCCTGGTTATTATTTAGCCTAGTGATGGTGGATTAAGAATATAATATTTAGAAAGTATAAATATTGGTGAAACTATATTTCCATTTATTAAAGAATAAGGCCCCCACAAGTGTTAATCAAAATTTAATCTCTAACCATCAAATACATACAAATATGCAAGTTCTGTCTTTCATACACACACAAATGCACTCACATGTAACATACACTCACATCACATATACTTCATGAAAACATCTGTCTTAATTTATAAAGTTTGCGCTTCAATGATCTTACTTTGTGCTTCAATGATCTTACTCCATTAAAAAACAGAGCCAGATCAAGTTTTATAATGATTGTATGAAAAGTTTTATGAGTTCTCATTCAAGAGAAGAGCTGGAGAAAGTCCATGCTGGTCTGAAACGTTGTCTAGAGGAGATCACAGAGCTGGTGCTGCTGGATACCAGTGACTCTCGAACAAAAGCTGTGCTGGGGGCTTTGCTTACCCTTTCCATTCACTGCAGAGATACAGTGAGAGATTTACTACTGAAAAATATCTTCAGTGCAGGGGACTTTGAGTGGACAAGATAAGAAGGTCTAAAATATAACTACAAGAAATAACTTTTCACATACCTATGTGTAGATAAATTAATTCTCGACCCCACACTGTGTAACCTGAGTTTTGATTTGCTGGGATTTGCAGCAATGCTAAACAAACTGCCAAACTGCGTGTCTTATGGCTGTGTTTCTTCTTTCTCTTTTCCCCTCTCCTTCCCTTTCATAAACATTACAGTCTTTCTGTTGTATCTTCCTGAGCCAACTGCTCAGAGCTGCATTTCCCTGCTGCCATTCAGCCACAGGGCGGTTTTCAAAGGGCAGTGGGAGACACTTCCTCAAGTCTAATCTGTCCCCTGTGTGCTGTCAGTTCTCAAACAGACTCAGCTGGAGAACAAGTCAGAGAACATTTCTAGCCAACTCTCTGACTCTGAACTCCCGTTCTCCTACCAAGAGTCAATTAGTATGTATTCATATCTATGTAGTATTTCATATACAAATATGAAGCTGTAGGAAAACAGAGCCACAGACTTTGGTGAGGAGATAAAGCATAAGGTTTCTATAATAAGTGTGAAATTTCAAATTTTTGAGTTAACTTTTCCTCTGAAGTCATCTATAGAGAAACAACTGTCCTACCTGCATAGGGTATTCAATTCACAAGAAAAGTTAATTTTTAAGAAATTCTGTGTTAGCATAAATTTATTTTAGGTAAAACAATTTCCTTTAAACTGTATGGGAAATGAAACAGAGAGGTTGATATATTTTATTGACACCACTCAATTTTACCTGATTGCTTTGTACTTTATCTAAATACTTTGTATTTGATACATATTCACATGTCATTTTACCATAAAAGTATAACTGATACATTCTTAATTGCCCAAGAAATATGCCATGTTTATGAACAATCACCCTGCAAAAAGTTTAGTATGTCATTATTACTTTCTATTAAATTTCTTTAAAAGTGAAAATGAATAGTAGGATTTGTTTTCTTCTTATGGCTGAATAATATTCCATTGTGTACATGTACCACATCTTCTTTATCCATTCATCTACTGATGGACATTTAGGTTGCTTCCAATTCTTGGCTATTGTAAATAAGTGCTGAGATGAACATGGGGTGCATATGTCTTTTTCAAACTAGGCTGCCACATTCTTAGGGTAAATTCCTAGGAGTGGAATTCCTGGGTCAAATGGTATTTCTATTTTTAGTTTTTTGAAGAACCTCCATACTGCTTTCCACAATGTTTGAACTAGTTTACATTCCCACCAGCAGTACTAGGGGTCTCCTTTCTCCATATCCTAGCCAACATTTGTTGTTGGTCTTTTGAATGGTGGCCATCCTAACTGGTGAGGTGATATCTCATTGTGGCTTTAATTTGCATTTCTCTGATGATTAGCAATGTGGAACAACTTTTCATGTGCCTGTTGGCCATCTGAATTTCTTCTTTGGCGAAGTGTTTGTTCAGCTCTTCTGACCATTTTTTAATTGGGTTATTTGCTTTTTGTTAGTTGAGGTGTGTGAGCTGTTTTTTTTTTTT